TGACAAAATCGTCGCTCTCTACTGCGAAGCAAGATATTAATAGACAAAGTTGAGGGCGTGTTAGGTTAGAAAATCTATCATATCATTTATCTCCAGTTACATAGCTAGAAATAGATGGTATGACAGATTTTCTAACCTAATACGCCCTCAACTTTGTCTATTAATATCTCGCTTCGCAGAAAAAAGAGCGACGATTTTGTCAGAGAAAAAAGTTGTTTGGCATGCAAAAACGCATCGATTGAGTCTATTTTCATCAAAATCGGAGGTGTTGCCGCTAAACTAAATAATTACCAAAACCACAATTTATCCACGCTCTACATCACAAATAGTAGTACGAAAATCGGAGTGAGTCCCAGATGCGCACATTGACAAACGGACACATCCAATCATATGTCGTTGTTTATAGAGTCTCTAGAATATCTCTAGGCATATGGCGTTGTGGTTGGATGTGATAAAAACGAAATAAAAACACAAATATTTTCTACAAAACTATTTTTTATTTCTCATCAGTTGCATATCCATTGCATAAACAAACGATACATAATTAAATGATGATAAAATAAACGGTGCACATCATTCTGTGTCCAAATAAACAGCAAGCAACTGAACGATGTCCAAGTGAACGGTGTCCAAATGAACAGTGCGCATCCTTCTGTGTCCAAGTGAACAGTGGGCGATTGAACGGTGTCCAAATGAACGGTGTCCAATTGAACGGTGTCCAAGTGAACTGTGTCCAAATGAACGGTGTCCAAGTGAACAGTGTCCAAATGAACGGTGTCCAAGTGAACAGTGCGCATCCTTCTGTGTCCAAGTGAACAGACAAGCAATTCCACGATGTCCAAGTGAACGGTGTACAAGTGAACAGCACGCATCGTTCTGTATCCAAGTGAACAGTGGGAACGGAACGGTATCCAAATGAACGGTGTCCAAGTGAACGGTGTCCAAGTGAACGGTGTCCAAATGAACGGTGTCCAAGTGAACGGTGTCCAAGTGAACAGTGAGCATCCTTCTGTGTCCAAGTGAATAGTGGGCACTTGAAATGTGTCCAACTGAACGGTGTCCAAATGAACGGTGTGTAATTGAACGTCGTGCATTTTCTTTCGTCCAAAAACAACGGTGCCCAAAAGTTTCGGGTCCAAACGCACCGTGTCCAATTGAACCGTGTGTCAAGTGCCGTGTCCATTTGCACCGTGTCCATTTGCAACGTGTCCAATTGTACTGTGTCCAACTGAATGCCACTCGGTGCGACGAGGGGTGTATATCAGTTGGACACGGGGCAATTGGACACAGTCCAATCACAAGTCGCTGTTCCAAGGGACCCTACAAATGTCTCTAATCACACGGTGCTGTGATTGGCTGTGTCTAAATGCACCGCGTCCAAGTGCACCGCTCCCTGCGACGAGAACGTTCCGTACGCGCAACGGCTCGCTTGGGCAAGTCATCAACACAGAACATCGGCCGCCATCTCGCCGCGGCACCGTCGTCCCGTCATACCGCTGCAGCGATGCGCCGAGAACATTCCTTATACGCAACGGCTCGCCAACGGGCGAGTCGTCGGCAGCGAACATTGGCCGCCATCCCGCCGCGACACCATCATCGCAGCCCTATGACGGTGCAACAACGAGGCGTCACTACCAGCGCCGCCGACCCGACCCGACCCGCAACCCCTATACGTCCCCCTGCC